TATATATATGTATATATATGTATAGATATATATATGTATATATATGTATATATATATATGGACTGTTACAAGCTCTTATGCACGTGTGAATATCATAAGTATTTGGGTATGTGTGCACGTGCACACAAGTACCTATATATATATAAATATGTATTATTATATATGTATATGTACGTATAGGTGTATGCATGTCACATATAAAATTGTGCCAGCAAGGAGCTCTCCATGGAACGGTTGAACCGCATGTAGACAGTGCGTCGGCACGAATCCTTCCAAACTAATTAGATCAGGGCTCCGGATGCTTTTTGTTTAAGTACAAGATTCACCCAACCGTCAGTCCAAATAGGTACTTATAATTCTTATAATTAATATTAGGACCCTCTGGGTAATTCATGTTCATGAACGGCGCTTTGAGGGTTTAGGGTTTAGGGTTTCAGGGCTTTCGGATTTTCGGGTTCAGCTTCGGGGTGCAGAGTTTCCTGGGGGGTTAGGGAAGTTAGGGTTATGTGTAGGAATTCCATTCCAAATGAATTTCCGGATGCTTCCTATATATATATATAGATAGATATATATATATAGATATATATATAGATAGATATATATATATATAGATATATAGATATATCTAAGTACAAGATTCGCCCAGCCCTCAGTCCAAACATTGACCTATTATAGACCTATTAGCAAATATTAAACCTTCGGCCCTAAACCCTCTAGGCCCCTAAGTGTCCTGGATTTCCTTCTCTGACCGTTTCTGGTCTTCGGGTTCGACTGGTACCATTGCTACCTCGGGGGCCGCGACGTGGGGCTGCTGCTGCTGCTGCTGCACTGCTGCCTGCTGCTGCACTGCTGCCTGCTGCTGCACTGCTGCCTGCTGCTGCTCTGCTGCCTGCTGCTGCTGCGAAGCCTGGGGTGGAACTCCGGTCTGGATCTGCTGCTGCTGTTGCAAGGCCGCAGGTGGAACTCCGGTTTGGATCTGCTGCTGCTGCGAAGCCTGGGGTGGAACTCCGGTCTGGATCTGCTGCTGCTGCTGCGAAGCCTCAAGCTGCTGCGAACCCTGGGGTGGAACTCCGGTCTGGGTCTGCTGCTGCTGTTGCAACGCCTCAGGTGGAACTCCGGTTTGGATCTGCTGCTGCGAAGCCTGCTGGGGTGGAACTTGGGTATCCATCGGCGTTGGCCCCTGCTGCTGCTGCTGCTGCGAAGCCGCAGGTGGAACTCCGGTTTGGATCTGCTGCTGCTGCTGCGAAGGCTCAGGTGGAACACTGGTCTGGATCTGCTTCTGCTGCAAAGCCTCAAGTGGAACTGCGGTTTGGTTCGGCTCAGGCGAAGGCTGGGGTGGAACTCCGGTATCCATCGGCGTTGGCCCCTGCTGCTGCTGCTGCTGCTGCGAAGCCTCAGGTGGAACTCCGGTTTGGATCTGCTGCTGCTGCTGCGAAGAGTCAGGTGGAACTCCGGTTTGGATCTGCGACTCAGGTGGAAGGGTGGTATCCATCGGCTGTGGCCCCTGCTGCTGCAAAGACTCAGGTGGAACTCCGGTCTGGATCTGCTGCTGCTGCTGCGAGTCGGGTGGAACTCCGGTCTGGATCTGCTGCGGCTGGGTCTGCTCTGCCTGTTGTACAGCTGTCGGCTTGGACTCTTCTGTCTCATCGCGCGGGCTTGGGAAGGGTGAACCAAAGTAGTTAGCTGGAGCCTCGGGCTTCGGGTCAGGGTTCGACAGAGCCTTTGGCGGTACAGGAGGCGGCGGCATGTCGGAACAGCTGGTGGGTTGTAGTTTGTTGAAGAGTTCTTCGAAGTCAAGGGAACTCGGGCGAAGCAATGCTTTCTGAATGCTTGCCTCACTTGCCTTGCCGCTGCTGATGCGTGCCGCGAGGTCTCGCAGCTGCTGCGCTAGCTGTTCTGCTGGGGATGCCGGGGACGGGGCCATGGGGGCTTCCAAAACTGGGTCCGCCTGTTCGTCGGGGATCGGGTCTGGCTGCGTGGCGTCCACTTCAATCTGGGTGTCCTGCATATCTGGTTATCTCTTTGGAGGGATTGTAATATTACACTTTTGGAGTCTAGACAGCAGCCGGAGTATTATATATATATATATGTTATCGTAGTCGTATTGCAATTGTAGTAGTATACTAGCGCAGCAGGAGTAGTATATATGTGTGTGTATATATATATATATGTATATATATATGTATATATATATATAGCAAGTACGTAGTAGTAGTAGTAGTAGTAGTAGTAGCAGCAGTAGTAGCAGCAGTAGTTGTAGTAGCAGCAGCAGCAGCAGCAGGAGTAGTAGTAGTAGTAGTAGTAGTAGTAGTAGCAGCAGCAGCAGCACTAGGCAGCAGCAGCAGCAGCACTAAGCAGTAGCAGTAGCAGACTTATTCAATTTAACTTAAGGTTGCAGTAGTCGTCGTCAGGAGCTATCGGCAGCGGTGGGCTGCTGATACACGTTATGTATCGGTCGTGCCAGTAATGGTTCAGAGCTGTACGTAGATGTAGCGGTAGCAGCAGTATACGATAACCAGTGGTAGTATAGGCGATAACGAATAATATACTTACCCCACTCCACCTCGATCTGCAGCTGGTCGCTGCTCTGCGTGGCGTCAACCGGCGCTCCCGTGGGTGCTTCCTGCATTGCAAGCGGGAGTATGTGTGTGTATACTGAGGGGGCTTTTAAGGCAGATAGAGGAAAAGGGTAGTGTAAACAATCCTTCTTCGAAGCTTAGACTTAGACGAACTAGGACATATTCAGATTGTTGAGCCACCCTTTTGGGGTTTAGGGTTTGGGGGTTCGGGCTTCCGGTTCGTTGTGATGTGCCCTGAAACCCGTCTTATGTCGGGACCCGGGCCTCCATTGCCTCCATTTCAAGGCTCAGCTTCTTCACACTTTCTTCCAGTGCATCATCCAAGCTACCACGTGATGACATGGTCGCAAGAGTCGTGACACTCGGAGCCCGATTGGCCTCAAGAAGTATCTACAGGCCAACAGCACGAATGTAAATACGAACGGAGAATCAGACAATAGCCAAGCAGCTGCATCTGGGGGAGGGGTGCATCCCATTTCCACATCTGAATCTCGGCGAGACTTCGAGGAAGTGCCTTAGATATCACAGTTATCGGAAGTTTTGAGATTTGAGAACGTATGCAAATGAAGAACGGTTGCAACCCAGGTACTGGCAGGTGTAGACCCCTCTCCAGCAAACAAGATTTTCTTCGGTGTTGCTGAAACCGTGCAGTCCCTCAAGTGCTTGGGCTGTGGAGTGGAGGTGGATGGCGTGCTCAGCATATTCGGGGATCGAAGGCGCTTGCTATCTTCGTCAGCACCCTTAAGCTTCGGATTGCCAGCAGCCTGCAACACAGCTTTGGCCATAGCCTTGCGTTTAGCCGCAGCTGCCATAGCTGCCGTATGCACCTGCCCACAAAACAACACAACACCCCAAAATCCCTGCACCTCCCTAGAACTCTAAAAGCCCAGAACCCTGAAGCCCGAGAACTGATCAGTTCGCTGGTGCCCCCCTTGAATCGCTAGTTGTGGTTGAGTCTTATTATAAACAATTGTAAGTATAAACAAATTTTAAGTATATTAAATTTGATCGAGGGCGATAGTTGTGTGCTGCGGTGCGGATTTACTAGGAGTTGAGGATCCAGGTGCCGGTTGTGTATCGGACACAATTAATAAACAAACACACACATATATATATATATGCATGTATGTATGTATGTATGTAGGTATGCATGCATGCATACATGTATTTGTGTATGTATTCATGTGTGTATATAAGTATGTATGTAAGTATATATATATAACTAATTTCGAATATATATATATATACACATACATACATACATACATACATACATACATACACATACATACATACATACATACATACATACATACATGACACGACACAAGCCCCAGCACCCTGTAAACCTTATACCTTAATTTGCTCCACGTACACCCAACTCGCCCCCCCACCCCTACCAACCCCACTCCACTCCCACTCCACCCACCCCCCCCAACCCCCGCCCCCCCCACCCT